AGCCCCCAGTTCTCCATGGCGCCCGCAGAGAAGTCGGGCACCGCCACCTGGTCCACTTTATCGAACGGCTGCTCCAGCGCGTCGTCTATGTACGCAATGCCCGTGATCGTCTCCAGAGCTTCCAGGAGGGGCCTGGATACTTGAATACTATACCCTGCCCATTTGATGGCATTTCGTCTAGCCCATGTTCTAAATACAACATCATTCGATGATATTTTGTCTTCTAAGTACCGAAAATCGGACACGACGATTGCCAGAAGATACGTTGACATGTATGGAGTGGTGTGAAATATGACTTCCGAAGTGTAGTTGTCCCTGTGTAAATTTTTTTTACATAATGTTAAAGAATATTTTCAATAGTTTTGAAAATGTCTATGGCATTATATGTATTTTGATTTATAAATATTCATTACCAAACACGAGTGTACCACACAGGCATATTTCCTAATGCGTGGTAAGGAGCCGGCGTTCTCACGGTGACAGCGAACTGAGCTTTGAAATGTGGTTCATCGAAACATGGAAAGGCTCGTCTTGCATACGTTGCCTGGAACTGGGTTGCAGCTAATGTCCTATCAATGACAACATATGATGATAATAGTTTAGCCATTATATTAAATACAACGTCATATTCACGCACAACTTAATATATCAACACATTACATCAATGACGAACTTACATAGATTGTCTCCACAAAATATATATACCAGTTATTGATGCCTAACAAGATTGGCGTCCAGTTTTAATCGGTCTTGGGGACGCGACCAGCGCTCCGAAAGCACTTGGTTCGAGAACGCTACTTTCGGCACTGCTATTATAGAGAATGAGCGAGACCGAACCTAACCATGTTACCGGGGTCCGTGTCGACGACCGAAAAGACAACGATGGCTAACGAATACTTACAGCGTCACGAGGTACCTCGAAATTGTTTAAATCTTAATAATTTGTATTCAACATTTCAAACGCATTATTTACTACATTTTCAATGAAAGAGCTAACAGAACTATGATTACAAACTAGTATGGTATACTCTTCGACGAAAACAATGAAACTTTAATCGCACAAGACACGTGGCTATTTCTACATTGTTGTCGAAATAAAAACCGCCTCAACACGACTTCAAAAAAATAGTCACTTTAAAATTATTTTTAAAAATTAATTATTAAAATTCTGTAATACATTATTTTCTTCCCTGTAACTGAGCTTATGGTACTGCTTACAAGCGGAATACGCTAAAACCACCAGAAAAACATTGTACAGTTCAGACTTCCCTAATACTATCGAGAATAAGTGGTTCCATCGTGTATTTGCAGAAACCTATGTATTGTATAAATTTCACAGACAATGAAGGAGCGCGCTTGCCTTTCGAGACTGAAAAGAGTCCAGTGAGAACGATCAACCATAGAATGCGTTTTGGCTGACTTCATCTGTGATTGCAAAGATGTAAATCCCACGTTCTTATTGTTCGGGAAGCTGAAATTAAGTACGTACTGTGAGCTCTCTCATTTAAGAATTCATACTCACTTGGGATACGTTTGTAAAAATATTGGATGACAGACACAATTTTGTCTTTAAACGTTTCCCTCTTCTCATTTTCTACAGTCGTTTACTTGAACTTGCTCACCTACCAAATGCCTTTGTCGTAGATTAATGAAGCTTGAAGCATTAGATCACAACATATGTATTGTGTACCTGATTGTAACATATTCCGGATTACTTTGAAAATACAAATATTAGTTTTATTCGATTTACCCTATTATAACTGCCGAAGGAGAAAGCTCTAGATCTTAACTGATATCACTATATAACTTGTGACCAGAGGTTTTATGGTTCAAGCCTCGGCGGTGACAGAATTTTCGACGCTAGAGATGGAATGGAATGAAATGTTCAGCACAACAAATATTTGTATCCTAATAAATTTTGTAATGTGTAAACCTTACCATCACAGTGAAACATGTTTGCATTTTTGTACCTGACATCTACACCTGAAATACGGTTACCATTTCTGTACGTCACCAGCAGCAATTTAAATTCACGCCAATGAAAAGAGAATTAATTCAGTGCGTCTCGTATTTCTGAAAGAAGATATTAACCCAGTTCAATTTTTTAAATCTTTAGTTATTTATTTCTTTTATTTTTCTTTTCTTCAATAGCCATTGTACATTTTCTAAGATGTCTCCAATGATTAGTGCATCTGAACCATTTAAAGTGGGTAGAAGGAAGACAAAATAGGATAAAAATAGTCTAAAGAGTTTTGTTAATTCCTCCTTGAACAAAAATGACTTACAAAATAATGGGAACAAGATATTTAGAGATGATTTTCTTGCTGATGTTTGTTAACAGAAGTATTAAAAGCCTAAGAAATAAGTAATAGGATAAAAAATAAAAGAGATGCTACTTACGTCTTTTCTCCATTATCATCGATGTAGGTGCTAAGGTAGAAACCATACATATCATCTCGCAAAGTTCCAGAAAACTTAAGATCGATGGAATAAATCCCATTTGGAATTAGTGTTGTGCGAAGGTACAAAGTGACAAACTCTAGGTTCTCATCATACGTGTGGCTTTGCCATAAATTCTCATACAAGCGATTGGAGCGGTCCAACACAACCACATTTGAAGAATGGACTCCTTGAGAATGAAGGATTATCTTATCCGTGGGGGCGTGCGCAACAACGTAAATCGTGACCTCTCCGATGAATGTGCCTTGAGGTATATTTGGTTCCAACCAAAGTGTATAATTCAAGGGCGTAACCCACTCAGGCAAGCGATGCTGCTTGTATTCTATGTTTTGAAGAATGGTGAAAATGCCATCTTGATGGGCATTGATCCATTCCAAATTTTCTTCAACAGCCTCCAAGGCAGACTTTCCGGCGTCACCTAACTGATCTTGGTATTGTTGAATAAATGCCTCCAACTATCAGAACATAAATAATTACAATCCATTTAATGCCATTAAACAATATTCTATTGCTTCACGTTTGTAAAATTAAAGTGGTCGCTAATTACTTTGATGTAGTTAAGCGAGAAAACAAAATTACATTTTAAAAATAACTTTTCCCTTATAGTTTCAAAAATTTACCTTTTTCTTTTGCTGCTCTTTCGTTAAACGTCCAGCAATTCCCGTTAAAATACTGTTGATTGCCCTCATTGATCCGTACCTAAAACAAATAATTATTATTTTGATTCTTTCCAGGCACAAAGTTACAAAATAGAAACCAAGAAGAGAAGATATAAATCTTTATAAGAATATTTCATAAGATAAAATAATCTAATTTAATAACCACTGTTAACTACTCTTCTAAATTTGAGTTTGTGTATGGCAGCATAAGAAATCAGTAGTGGGGCTTTTGGTTTTTCTTTTAAGGTGTTTTTGGAAGTGAGGTAGAAATATTCTGTACAGTGAATTTGTTAAATAGGACGAAACATAGTTGTAAATAGTAGATCACTCCAAAACTACTGAGCTGTTTACTTCTATTGAAATGATCAGTAAAATTTGCTACTTCCTGTACTAAAAAAACTCAATTTTGTCGCATTTGTCGCGATACCTTTAGCATGAATAAATTGCGATAAATATATTAGATATTGCAATATTTGAAAGATTTTAACTGTGAAGAATTTTAAAGCCTTTTAAGATTTGCCAGACTCGTAAATTTTTAAATATTTGTGTTTCCGTATTTATTAAAATTGCATTTCCACAGATACTCAAGTTGCATCTGAATCCTAATATGCTCACTATGCAAATATTGCTTATACGCGCGCTTGGACAAAATTATTTACATACATATATATGTACCTACGTATTTAAGTACGTACTCAAAAAACACTAGGTTTTGATGTGCTAAATACATACGTATTTTAAATACCGTCAATACGGGCTAATTGGACCCTTAGTGTGCTTGAACCCACCCGAAAAAAAGTTTTCAGTTGTTGAGCCGCTTCTACTTTGCATTAACGCGTTAGTTGGCATTTGCTTCCGTTCGATGGCAACATAGTTCAATATTAATTGAATTTGGCCTAGTTCGGTGGTACACCTGTACATTACAGCACAAATACAGAAAGTGTCTAGTGTCGAAAGTCGTCTAGTATTGGATCGTGGCAAACTTTTTTAACTACACCCAAATTTCAAGATAGCTATCAAAAGATAATGAATTAACTATATGTTACTATAACTGCTTTGGGAATTTTGTCATTAGTTGTGCCTTTCCAATTTTTTTAATTTCCTAACTGCGAGAACATATTCTTAAAAACCGGGCTACTTGGACCCACACTTGCAATGGAATCAAGTATCACGCAACTTTCTTTTTAATGCGTTTATAGTTATATTTTGATATTTAAAATTTCAACTATGTTAAATTTTTCTTGCTTCGTCAATAATCTGACGTTCACGTCCTTGAAAGACGTTTGCATGTCGAACAAGTCAGAATAAATAATATTTTTTTAAAAGTAATCCGACTGTTTTGATTCACAAATACAAACAACATAGCCTGAAAATATGCGGATTATAAGGACCACCAGATTGAGGAATGTTTGGTAACAATTTAGTCAGGAATAATGTCACAATGACTAGCTATAGCTTCCTTTAAAAACATCGATCGACTATAAGGAGACTGAAGCACAAATTCAGTCAGAAACCGGGCCACCCAAAAGTGTTTACTGAAGATGATGAATTAGCCTTTGCAAGTCTCCTTTACAAAATCTGTAATTTCGGATTTCCGATTGGTAAATTCGATTTCAGATTTATTGAGAAGTCTTACATGTCTATGCGTGGCAGAACTGTCACTACATTCAAAGACCCTCTCCCAAGGTGGGATTGGGTGAAATTATTTTTAATTAGGTGGCCACAGTAAACGATAAAAATTGGATAATACAAGTTGTCTATCAGCTATTGAAATTATCTTCACGTTTATTTACATTCATGATTGTATCAGAAAATCTAGGAACCACATCAGAAAATCTAGGAACCACAAACCTCAAAGGTTTAATATAAGAAAACTCGCGTGAATTCAAGTAGCCCATACAATAGTGTATTTTTTTTTTAAATTCCGTGTGCTTTGTGTTACATTTATCGTATCAAACTACTATCGAGCATTTTACATTAAGTCGTTAGATTGATATAAAAATTATAAAAGTATTTTGTTTAGTTTTTTGTGGATTAGTAAAGAAAAAACTACGAAAGAATTGAAAAACTAAATCCAAGTAGCCCGTGTTTACGGTACTTCAAATACTCAAAATGTTGTAAATACAATTGTATTATATATATTTTCATTGCAAAAATATATTGTAATTTTCAGTAACACGATATTAATTTCACAAACATTATTTTTATTAAAGTATTTTAAGTATTTCTTTTTTAAATACACATATTTTATGGATTAAATATATCTCCAAAACATGTGTTCAAAAATATAGTTTTTCAAAAACAAAATGCATTTGTAATACGTATTTCAAATACAAGTATTTAAATACTGCTCAGGCCTGTAACTAAAAAACGGTGGGACGAAACAAACGTATGAAAATTCAATTTGAAATCAATGCATTGAATCCAAGAAAAATCAACGAAAAATAACAATGTTTTATGGTTGCACCATTTTACTTACTGAATTAATATAGAGTCAAAATTTGCTTCGAGGAATTCCAGAGCCACATCCACTCCCCAAGGATTGGAGTACACGGCTGCAAACGCACTGGAGGCGTCCTGTTTTCGAATGGCATTACCGCTGATGGAGTACTCCAGGAGGCTAAGACAAAATAGTTTTGATTTTATTGCGTTTTTAATACACATTTTTGTAAAATGTCGTAAGTTCTTGGTTTTCTTTGATAACATTTTTTTCTTTTATCCGTTACATTGTACACGACTTTGAACTTTCCCAGCAAACATCATATTATTATCTAATTCTGATCACAGTATTCATTCAGATAGAAAGATATTTGAATATTAAAACGTTTGTGTTTATTTAAATATTATTAAAGTAACCTAACATTGATTATAATTGATTGAAGAAACACAACTTCTCAAACATTTATGTACATCTATAACGCAATTTACAGCGTTAGTGCACAAAAAAAACTGACCCACAATTTTTTTATTTTGGAGGATGACTGTCTATTAGTAATCCTGAGAGACATCACTAAAGACCAAGTTCAAGATGGAAGTATAAAAAACCCACGTTCTGAGTCGGTTTTCCTTCGAGGAGCAACCAAGTCCGGCCAAAATTAGTCCTTGTTCCACAGCGTCCTGAGATTTCTTGTATTCTTCCCACATGATGTCCCAGTAGTTGTCGTTTCCACTGTGTATCCCGTAGCAATACACCACACTCCGCAAATCTGGGTGAACTCTGCAGTGAAAAGTATTATTCACATGTATCAGATTGAAGTTTAATAAATTTAAGTACGTTTCGCGAAAAATGAAAAGGTCTTAAGGCATTATGTAATGTCTGTAATAGAATCATGAATATTTTTGATACTGACTCCCAGTTTTTGCTAAACTCTTTAAATCTTACAAAACGTAATAATTGATATTTTAAAAATTGCCCATTACGAAACCAATAATTGAAAAATGTAGTAGGTATTGAGAAAGATCAGAAACCAGCAAACAGTTAAGAGTTCAATGTCGGACGTATCACTCCCCTTTTTATAAAGATTTGTGGAGTTAAAAAAGAGACCTCTTATCCCATTATATGTGTTTCTTAAAACTTCTCTGAACACGTTTTTTTAAACGATTATATTTCTTTGTGATTTGTATTTTTATTTCATTTTAATGCTGCTTTTTCAGGACCTTCAAACCATGATTTCTTTTAATTTTTATATTACACTAAACATGTATTGTATTTGCTTTTTATGAAAAATCCAGGTATATTACAAAAACAATGTGTATTTACTACAGAGTGCAATCTTATAGTTCAAGCTGGAGAAAGGAGGCTCGAGCTGAAAATGTTGAGAATCTCTGCCCTAACCTCGAACTCACTCCATCACCTGGCCGCCTCGTGAACTATCGAATTGTACCATCAAATATCGTTCCAATGACACCAATGATTTCAGGGCGGCCATGATGGTGTTAGAACTTCTTCGCTTATTAAGTCGCTTTACCCCTTTTTTTGGCATCATATGGTTAAACCGTAAGAAACTATATTCATGAAACAGCAAGTTTTGATCTTGCTTCAGTGGTTGAAATTTTAGGTTACAATCGTGAGAAAGCAGGAAATTATGTTACAGATATTATGTTGTCTGTATTTACTATTTAAAATAAGGAATAAATATAAATAAATGGGAATATATGAGAATATATCTGAAGTTAAAACGGTTAATTTATTAGTATGATGTATGATAAGTATGATGTTGGTGTGATTGTTGAGAGGCGTTGGTGTGTTTTTACCGCATGAAATGACTCACCTATCTATCTATTATCTAAGTAGAAAAATAGTTTTGTCACTTACGACGTGCCTTCTATATGGAGTCGTAACATATTTGCCGCCGTATCAAGACATTTCTGGTGTCCCAGAGCACATGCCCACGTGGCGATTTTGTTCAGAAGTAGTTTTTCGTCGTGACGCTCAGGAACATTGAAATTGAAACGGTCGAAAATTCTATCAAGCAGCCGTAGCCCATAACGCTGAAACAGAGATAGTATTTGGATATTGATATGTAGTTTAAAATTGAAATACAATTACGAAAATTTAATATTAAAAAATAGTATGGTTTTGATTCTTTATCTATGTATAATACCTTTACTTTAAGAAAATTAAAGTTCTCTTTTAACAATTTAATATTAATAATAATAATTTTGAATTCCGTGCTCTGCTGTCACGATGTCAACACAATCTGCTAGCCACACCGGTTGCCTGCAACTATGCGCCAGCTCTCGGCTTACACAGTAAGTCGCCCACTTGAGCAGTCATGAGCTAGGGCATGGTGCCCCATTTTCCCTGTTCCAGCCTTGATTTTCTTTAAGATTGTTATGCAGTAAAACCTATCTAATACGGAACCTGACGGTTCCTTAAAAACCTTTCGTTTTGGCAGGTTTTTGTCGTATAGAATGTTGAAAATAAAGGTCATTATAACTTTAGTACAGAATTTATTACATAATTTTGTTTGTGAATCGAAATAATGAAAATAATGCATTCTTTATCACTGAAAATATAGCAGTAAATTAAAAAAATAAACAATGAACACAGCAAAATTATAAAACGAGCATTAATTTCGCATTTTCGAGTTTTGCACGTACACTTTCAATTTTGGCTTACTAGTTCTCGGCTTTCTATCGCAAGACTTCAAGCGCTCATGAAAGTCTGTGGTCTACACCTCATCAACTCTACGGCTGTTGCACTAGGATGGCAAGGTAGCCTTCCCGGAATTCCATTAAGAAAACGCAGTGAACGGTTAAGGATTCGAAGTGCGAGCGACGAGAATCGTTGTTGCGACCTTGAATATCACACCAAAGGGAGAGAACGTCGCAACGAATCATTTGCTGAGATCGCCAAAGGTTCACCGACAACTGGTAGTGTAAGAGGAAACACTCATCGTTTACTCTATTGTCTCAGGACGTGACCCTTTACACTATGCCATTCCAAAGATGGTACCCGAAATTTAAAATAATTTCCTTCTTAGGCAGGTAGTAGTTACTTTACGTTCTCAAAAAATCCATTCCACTTTTGCGCTAGACAAGTTTCCGACTTAAAAATGTCATTTTAACTTCCGTTCTGAGATTTTTGTCAGGGATGGCAGGTTTTGGTCTTACAGAGGTTCCGTTCCAGACAGATTTATTAACGAAATCGTAAGACCAGTAGTTAGACTCCTGGGCGATAATGATTGATATTATGAAATTATTAAAATACCGTGAAAGGAACACTTGCTTAAAGTGAATGTATTACAAAGTCTTCATCAAGTTAAATATCGTAACAAAAATATTTGAAAATAAACAAAGCTTTGAAAGTACATGGAGATAACAAAAAAGCTTTATGTAAACAATATGAGACGGTTCTATACCTCGCTCAAATACCTACCTTAAAAATGGGGTATCGTATGTCATTGCCAAGCATAAGATTCAAGTGGGATAGGGCTGTCAATGCAGAAGACCAAGGAATATAATCATATTCTCTGACAAGATAACCCGCTAAGTCAAATACAATTTCATAAGATAGCTGATTCGCACGGGCAAGATTAAAAGCATCATCCAACAGCTGGGCACGATTCAACACATGAATATCGCTGATGGATTTGTCTATATTATTTAGGAATGTTGATATCAGATTCCAGTTTCTGGCGTCATAGTTAACTCTGTAGTAGCCTGTAATTTCAAGATGGGGAAAATATGCAAATTAGTACGAATACTGAGATGGTATCTCTGATCAGAGTTTGTATTGGAGAGGTAAGAGCTCACCAGTTTCCTGAACATTAAATATCACCCAACTCCTTTCAGAAGGCCAAACTACTCCATCCAAATCCATCGCCGGATTTTGCGGGGTAAGGTAATGGTTCGGTCTCCAGATTTCAAAAGAACGACCTTCCATGGTCCAAGTTATGGGAACATAATATAGTTGTGATCCTTCACCTTTGAAAAGAAACCTTTTCTGGAAAAAGAAAGACAAAATATGTTAATGAAATACTTCTTAATTGACATTTATTCTAAATAACGATACTGTAAAGAGGGTTCTTCAAAATTGCCTTCGGAGCTGCATGGTGAAGTTTCTGATAACCGTTTCTGCAAAATGAAAATTTGGACATTCCAGTGGTTTTGAAATTGTCAAAGAATAATTATACTGACTATTCGAAGAGTATACGGGTTACGATATTGACCTATGTTAAACTGCATAATCTACATTAACATGCTGAAATTTTGTGGCCGTGCAATGACCTGTGCATAAGGTACAACACGTAAAACTCAAGACGCCATTTTGCATGATAATGCGGACAGAAGCAGTGGGATTCATGCAGCGATTGCTAAGCGGTTCATTTCCTCCGTTTCCTCGGGGTCATCGCTTTAGTATAGGGAAAGTTCTCCCTTCGTGGCACTGAATTGTTTAGCTTTTGGTCATATGTATCTTACTTTTACTTTCACGCTATCACTTTCGTAGTAGAGAGAAAGTCGTGTAACACTGCGCGAAAAAACGGTGAATTTTGTACAGAAAAACTTATTACAGGGCTCTGGTAACGACAAAGTGTATAAACCAGTTGCTAAATTTAGAAAAAATCCTCTAACACGTGGTGCAGTCAGAATTCATGTTTTATAGGTCCTTGATACCGAAAACTTGAATGATGGCAAAATGTCCGTCTGTCCGTTCGTCTGTGAACCACGCTAGTTGCAAAACCGTTCATCCGATTTTCTACAAAATTGATATTCCCCAACCGATCTGGCTGTTGTCGCGGCCCCCTGAATTTGAAAACAATATTTTTTGAGAGGGTACTTTACAACAAGCCCCTTGGTATATTTTCAAAAAAAATGCTCCACCTTTTTTGATTAAATGTTATTTTTGGATAGTGTGAAGGACGTTTGAGAGAATGGTAGGTCTCATGTTCGTAAAAAACCCTCATTTTTCCATAATCGCAAAAGTTCAATATTATTTCCTTGTTATGTCTTTCTACAACTAAAATATTAAAGATAGAGGTTTTTCCCTTAATGAACCGTGTTCCTTAAAGATATATTTTAAATTAAAGTCCTGTACAAGTTTTCAAAAAATGAGAACTTTTCGTGTAATTTTGCATGAAATGCGGGAGATAACGAGCGTGCTGTTTTAGCACTACTATTTCATGGGACGTGTCATCTTTGCTGGTGGGAATAAGCTTATGATTTTTAAAAGAACAGTCTATCACTCACTGTGGCAACCCAGTTGACTTTTAGATGTCAGAAGGCAATTTTGAATTACCCATAAAATCTACACAGTTACACTCTGCTAATGAATTACCTGCGACACTGTAACTGTTTTGGAATCATAGTTACGGGTAACATTAACAACCGGGAATCCAGGCAGTTCTGTCCACGACTTCAAGAAGTTATCGAAGTCGTCATCGGAAAGCTTGGCGGCTCCAGCGTATGGTTTTAATGAGTCAAAGAGATTCTGAGGAACCACTGTTTCGTATTTGCTACAAATAAAATGATTTTTCATTTCAATGTCAAATAGGTCAGTGATATACACTATAATATTTGAAATAGTGATATATACTTACTGCAAATGAAGATAATTTTGAAGCGCTTGTTGAAAATAAGTAGGGCCAATAGTATTGCTAATCATTCGCAAAATGGATGCACCTGAAGCATGAATAATTAATGTTTGGCGGCGGCTATTACAGTGAATAGAATGTATTCAATTATTAATAAAACCAAACAAAACTGTACTTAATAGTTGTTTTTTTTTTTGTTTTCAATTCGGGGGCTTTTTACAGCTTTTAGAGGATGCCTATTTCTTGCGTCCGCGCCAGATACCAACAATGCGGACACATAATAACCTTTACATTTCGACCTAACACACTTGCGGTCTCCTCGGTCTGTGCTTAGCAGACCCACAAGGCGTTTCGCGACAGCACACATACACGAAAGACAAGAAACAAACAACCACGCCCACGGTGGGACTAGAACTCTTCTGACCGAGATGCTGAGTCACCTCAGCTGAGTCAGTCGCTCCAGCCACCTCAGCCATCCAGGTCAGCAAATTCTTCTTAATGTGTAATATATTTGATGAATACTAATACTGTGAGAAGAGTCTCGAACATAAAACAATAGAATTTGTTTAAACACTACTTGAGATGTAGCTATTCGTTAACAAAATTAGATACACGTTTATTACATTAAAAATAAGATTTTTGGAAGCACTAATAGTAATTTATTAATTACTTATTGTTAAATAAGAATTACTACATAATTATTTTCTTTTGTTGAGAAACAAATCTTGCGCCATGGACAACTAGTTGAGAATTTGCGAGGAAGTTTAACCTACTCTCCTTGAACATATAGGAACATATAATTTGAGTTCTAGGCAATCCATATAGAATATTATGTGACGTCACGGTCCGCGTCACCCCGGTTGTGAGCGAGCCGGAACGGTGGCGACGAACCAGGGGGCAGCGGGGGCTTCGCGCAATGATGGCAGTGGGAAGCGAGGTGATCGTAGGGGGGGGGGCATCACACGGTTAGTGACAGACGGACGGTGAAATACAGAAGTGAGCGAGTCGAGTCAGTCAGGCAGAGGGTTAAAGCAGAGAGTTAGTGAAGGCCAGATTTGAGCGAAGGCAGTAGTTAGGAAGCCAACCAGTAAGTGAGTGTGTTAGTAGCCGTATTGCTAAGATGCCCGGCGTTTTCACCATGCGCCTCCCGGTCCTGGTGAGTATGCGAGCCGGCCTAGTGACTTGGGCGTTGCCGTCGATCCGGCCTTCGGGGCGCCGCCGCGCCCGCCCCGGCGCCGCGCGCTGCCGTGAAGCGGCGCTTTGTTGTCGGGTCCGGCCTGGCCCGCCACCTCTGCGACGCGCCCTAGCGCCGGCCGCGCCTGTCCGGTCGCCGCGTCCTGAGACGTTCATAGTGCGCCACGGCCAAGTGACCCTGCGCGGCAGTGCTTCAGGTCGGGCGTTTGGAACGCAGTTTTCTGTGGGTTTTTTTTACCAGGCTTCCCCAGGGTCGTGACTCTGTCGGCCTCTCAACCAACGACGCGGCGTCACCCGGACTGCCAGGAAGTCATGAACTCGAGCCACGGAAGCTTACGTGCACATAGTTTGTAAATAGTTTAAAGCATAAGTAAGTGTGTCAATGTTTCTTTCACTGAATGGTGACTCTCAGCAGCAGCAGGACCTGGATTCAATTCTTACCCGGGAGGGCAAGACGTAAATAGATTGTGTGCGCGGTCACGTTCCAATGGGTCACGGAAGTGACGTCACAATATTATTCAAGAAGATTCTCTCGTAGATTTCTTGGTTAACCAGTCCCAGATTGAAATGTTTTCAATCACCTCTCATTGCTCAACAGTAATTATTAATTATCAGTTAATTATCAGTCTCTGATACACCCCTATACGGTATTCGAGTGAAAGTCTTGAAAGTGCTTATGTGCAAATGTGTGGATGTGCGTCACTTGCGGCTGGACCTCTTTCCGTAAACCAATCGAGACGCATGAGGTGTCAATCGACGCTTCTCGGTCTCCTGATAGGGAACTGGTAATTTGTTTTCGGATCCGGCTAGAAGATTTAAATAAATTTCCAAAAACATGTTTCTTTCGTGTTTTCGCGCTGCGATCTCAGTGATAATGCCGGGAATTTAACCAACGCCTCCTAAATCGAGCACATAGGCCTGGCCCTAGTTTGTATTCCATATTCATGCCTCGGGTTGAAAAGACACGTGACGAGCAATCTCGTCATCGTATCTTGCAGGCCCTGCATTCTTAAAACGAATCTTCTACTTTTAGAGGTCATTATATATATAGTGTATGTGTGTATGTGTGTGTGTCCGGGGAGGATACGTCGAAATTTCGCAAATAAGCAGTTAAGATCTTAAGTATATTTTATCTAATAAACCACGTGGATAGTCCGAATGGCTGAGCTGCAATAAAGGGCTCAAAAGCTGTCTTGAAAAAATGATTTCTAGAAAAAATAGCATTATTAAGGCCTAGAAACGCTCTACAAACGTGTAAATTGTTTATTATTTACAAAAAAAGGAATATATTTGCTCAGAAAAAAGTATGCGTTAAATAAAAAAGCAGTCTAATTCGAGGCCATCAGAAGCTGCAGTAATTGCTAATTCTACCGGTGATTTCAACGATCTGCCTCTCTTCGGTACGTCTAGTATTAACTCCAATAGAGATGTCTGCAATATTTTCGTATGTACATTTACCAGGCGGTGCAAATTTTGTAATTATCTCGGTAAATACATAGAAAACATTCTTAAGTACAAAATCCTTTATCAGAATTTAACAATATTCATTTTAATTAAAGACCCAGGTTATCATTACGATACCTTTATTGTAAGTAATGGAACCGAAGCTCGCACTGGCTTCCGCGGGAGTGCTGACGTGATGGGTGAGCGCGTTGGCCATCTGCACCGAGTCGAGGGCGAACACCATCTGGTGCTGGTCCACCACGAACTGGTCCCACATGCGCCAGTCCGCCGCCTCCACCTTGTCGGTGACGTAGTACTGGAAGTAGCGCGCGAAGCCCTCGTTGAGCCACGTGGCGCCCCACCAGTGCGTGGTGACGAGGTTGCCGAACCACATGTGTGATAGCTCATGGGCGATGACGATAGCTACAAACATTTTGGCGTCTGCTGATCCATCATTGTACAGGAGAGCAGTTTCGCGATAAGTTACCAGGCCCCAGTTTTCCATTGCTCCAGCAGAAAAATCAGGAATGGCAACCTAAAATAAATCGTTTCATATAAGTCTAGTGAACTAATTAAACCTCTTTGTAATACAATGAAATGAATTAAAATATCTTGATGAGACGTATCATTTTTTTGACAGTCAAAACAATAGTTATTCCATAAAAGAACACTTTATTGACTTATTAAATTATAATGCACAAAATTCCGTGCCCCACTCTCTCCTATTCCATCCACTCACCCCGCCCTGCTGACCTACACTATCCCATTCTATCATGCTTCTCTAAGCCATCACCCTAATTCCTTCGGAATTGATTATCAGTGTTGATCATCAATTACTCGGAAACTAACTTAACTATCGGAATGAGTTAAAATGCGTTACGATTGGTAGGAATTGTTATGGGATTTCAGAAACTTTGATTTTTCTGGATTATATTTCCGAGACAATCTAGAAAATCTAAAAGACTCTTAAGTTCTTTTTAAAAGGATGCTGTTGGCACATAAATATTAAAAGTATGGTATATGTACTAAAATAAAAGAAAAATAGTGTTGGCTGATCCTTTTCAAAAGTATGTGATTTAATTGAGCAAGAGAAATTCGTCACATCTCAAAATATACCTATTTTTATTCATTCATAATTCGACTCTCAAAATGTCTGATACATCATGTTATTGAAACTCTTCATTCTTACCTGATCTACTTTGTCGAGAGGCGGTAGTTGTGTTTTGTCAATGAAGGAAATACCCGTATACTCCTCCAACACCTTTAGCATGCGACGTGAAACAGTGAGACTGTACTTAGATTGCTCCAGGGCGTTTGGACGCATCCACGTCTTGAATATCACTTCTTCTGGTTCGCTGCTTCCGTCACCGTTGAATACAAAATCCGACACTACAAAAGCCAGTAGGTAAGTTGACATCTTCAAAGAGTTTTGAAATCGAAACTCTTTGCGATTACCGGACCTGAGGGAGTACCCAATTTACAGATGTGTTAGACAGAATTTGAAACTTAAACAATTAGAATAAGATTGTATTATCAATTATTAAAAGTAAATATTAATATATGCGGAAATATTCGGCGAACTCTTAAAGATATAACACGTAGAGATACTCTAATGAGGATATACAAAGTAATGGCTGTCGCGTGTCTGTTGGTCGGAAGTGAATGCTGGACTGTGAGGGAGAAAGATAAACAGACGTTACAGTCTGCTGGAATGGAAATTCTTGAGATCTATAAAAAATGTACCAGACTAGATACATTCAGAAATGAAGAAATTTGAAAAGAATCAAACGTTCAAGAAATCAATGACAAGGTACAATGTTACAGACAGGAATGATTACAACATGTGGAAAGAATGGAAGAGACTCGCATTCCAAAGCAGGTGTTTAAGTATAGGTCTCAAGGCAGAAGAGATGCAGGTAGATAAAAGTGCAGGTAGTAAAAAGATGGAATTCTTAGAAGACGGAACAGGTAATAGACCTATCTATAAAGAGAAGAAGAAGAATTATTGAAAGTGTCATTAAGATTTTTTTTTCTGTCTTAACATTCATTTTTTTAACGTCACAAACATGTTCCAATCATTTACACATACAACAATCAATATTTAATTAACAAAAATTTAAACAATATTTCAAAATCAATACTTAACAGTTCACTTTCAGAGTCGACAGGCATGTTTGATAGACAATGGTATCCTGGGGGGGTGATAACAGTCACCTGGAAGCGCGCCTTGAAGCCGGGCTCGTCGAAGCAAGGGAAGGCTTTGCGTGCGTGCGTGGCCTGGAAGTGCGTCGCTGCCAGCTTCCTGTGTCATTAAAAGGAACATTAGCCACACAAGAAGTATTTACACGTTTCAAGAGTATTATTTATTTCAAGTTTGATTTGTTTTATGGAGGATTAGATATTTATTTGCACGCAGTGTTTTACACTGCAAAATGTTCTATTGCATAATCAGGTGCAAAAATATCAGGGGACCCCAAAACGTGTATTTCCGTTGAAATCTCGAAATCGATATTCCATAGTATTACATAACTTTCCCTGCACTACGTATATTAATCCGTTTATACGTATGTATACGGGAAAGTAACAAAGAATAGAAGGAAATATCTCATATACGTTTGTGAAAACATGTATGCGTTAATTGGCAGGAGAAAATTGCCGTGTTTCAAAATAATAATTTCAAAACTAGAAAAATATAATAAATCTTGTATGAAACATCTCTAAAGTTTACAATTTAACATAGAGGTAATTTTAGGAATAAAATATTGTTAGAAAATATTTTTTTTCTTTGATATACTCACTTTTCTACATTGTTGTCGTAATATTTGCTTACATAAAACCCATACATATCATCTCTTAACTTCCCCTCGTAATCTAAAGCAATTAAGTAACGTTCGTTGACTTGAAGATTCTCGGATAGAACTATGTCTATCATTTCAAACAGATCCCTCGGAACCACAACCAGCTCGATTTTTTCTTCGGAACCACCCTTTCTTGTTACTGTGACTTGGATGTTTGCGAGGCCTTCAGCGTGCAAAGAGATGGTATTGGTGGCTTCCACCACCTCCACATCGATCTCCACTCGTCCCCTAAACACTTCATTGTCCAGATCTGGTTCCACGACCAACCTGTACTGCTCCGGCAACACAGAACCTTTCAGTCTGTGCGGGTCGTCAACGCGCACCGCAGTCGATCGTGATTCTGACGCCAGTGGGGAGAGCGCACTTCCAAGTGCGGCCCCACTTACCACTAGAAAAAGCACTCGAAATGCCAGCGGAGGCGAGCTGTCTAGCGTCGCCATTGCTGTAGAGGAACAGGTGCGAAGGACATCTTTCGCTGAATTTTGTATTGGTTCGTTATCGCTTATTTGGGTGGAGCACACGAGCGTGTTATTTATGTCTTATTTAATCGTTTTATGGAAAGAGAAATTTATAGGCTTTAACGTTGGTATTTGGCATATATTGTATTTATTCGAGATATACTGATGAATTTTTATTAACAGATTAATGGTCAATCTTTTCATCCAAATCTTTCAAATATCGTTTTGTGACGAAATATTTTTTACTTTCCCACGAACTATGTAGTATAGAGAAAGTTATGTAATGCCCTGACAAAAAAAGCAATTTTTCTGTAGAAAACGTCTTATTGGGGGACCCTGATACCAAATAAGTGAATAATTTTCATTCTTGTGAGTAGCAAATTACTTTATCAGTCATTTAGAATCCACGTTTGTGGGTCCCTAACACTAAAAAATCGGTAAAATATCTGTTCGGATTTCTTTTCGTCTGTGTGTAGACAACTTTAGCGACTAAACCCTAAGCAGCATTTTTACCAAAATAGATATTATCCAATCGATATGGCTGATGTCGCCGCCCGAAACCTATTTTTGGTAGTACTTTAAATGAAACCTTATGGTCATTTTCAAATTTTCTCAAACATGGCTCTAAAGGTATTACAATTTCTTCTTGGACTTACTCGGACAGGCACACAATCTTCCTCATCTTCAGTGTAGGAAGCTTAAAAAATGGCCAAGGTCCCACTTTCGTTTACATGTATAAATATTCAAAAACTTCATAAATTCAAGATTTGTTCGGCGTCTTTCTACAACTATCGTATTAAAGATAATAACAAGGCGCCCAAAACATTTTTTTTACCTTTGGAAATTTTCGAAAAAACAAGGATTTAAACGGAACCGAAACCTGCACCATTCTCCTAAGCGTACTTTACGCTATCCGAGGCCAAAGTTTAATTATTAAATATATAATTATTAGTTAAAATATTTTGAGAAATAATTGAGAAATTTTGAAAGTGTTTTCGAAGTTTTATGTTAAGTATTTCCAAAAATCAAAATATTCCATTTCGAACTCAAAAGCATCGATTTCACCTAAATCTATTGGAAACTATTTTGGGGGAAATACCCTGAACGGTTTAGACCCTACTTTTATCTACAGATAGGCGAACAAACGTTTTGCCGTCAGTATTTCGGTATTAAGGACTCACCGAACATGGATTTTGACTGCACGGTTTAGAAGTTCTTTACCATTTATAGGAACAAAATGTATCCACTTCTTTGTTACCAAGGCTCTGCAGTAATAGTTCTACTGCCTAAATTGGCCATTTTCAACAACATATTACAACACGTTCTTTTCTTACAAAGTAAGAGCGAGAAAGTAAAATCGTCTGTGTGTCTGTCAACGCTTGCGTTGAAATCGTTCAGACTGTTTTACTTAGAAATTAATATTTTTTCTATCATTTTCAACGAACTCAAAGCCTTGCTATTTTGAAACCGATATTTTAATTTTTTAGGGTAATTTATATGGAGCTTATTATTACTTTCAAAAGTTTCTCCAAACTGAATACAAATTTTTGGAATAAAGTTTGTTCTCATATAACGGAAAGAAGTTAAAAGAATTGCGTAAGTCTCACTTTTATTGAAATCCCCAATTTTTTTTTAAATTGCAAGATTTCAATTTTTTCGGCACGTTCCTACAACTACAATATTGTAGGAAGAGATTTTTTCCTCAATGAAATCTTTTTGTTATAGGCAGATCTTGAAATAACTTAATGTACAATTTTTCGAAAATATGAACTGTTTTTTACATAATTTTGCGAATTAGGCTGTGTTTAAACAATTATTTACTAAAAAACTCAATAGGTATAGTATATTTCAATTGGCAGTAAAACATATACATATGAAATACGAGAAACATAAGCGTTAGCATGTCATTAAATGCCCATGCATTAAGTTCATACCATGTCTTTTCATGTGTATAATTCACATTTTCCTCTCGTTCCGTATTCTCGCCAAAAAAATGTTGCCATGACGTATGCGCCAATCCTCGTATATAGATGGATTATAAATGACCACTGAAAAATTACGTTATTATTAGGGAAAACGGTCACTATGCCGGAGGTTACTGTTTTATGTTTAGAATCCTTGTACATATACTGTATAATTAAAACATGAATTGATCATTGTTCAATTATGAAGACAGTACGGTCACGTAGGTAAAGCAGCAGATAGTCATTATTGCAACGTTTGGGAATTTTTGGAAAGATAATTTCACTCAATATGCTCAAGAGCTTATACAATATATCATGAAAATATGCACCGGACCTGTGTATTGGCAAGTTGATAACTCGTATTGAAACTCAGAAGAAATTATTCAATTTTTTAGACAAGTGATTGAATGGAAAAGTTTGTTGAGGCTAAAGTGCTCTTTCTGGTGACGATTCAAGTGATAACTGTGAGATTTCAAGACCAAAAGAGTTTTACAATGGAAGAATATTATCTTCCCTCCAATTAATCACTTTGAGAACTTTATTAGGCGTTTTAGTGCACGAGTAGTTTGATTGCTGATTCCAACTAAATTGTTCTCAGTTCTATTTCCTACAAACGCTTGAAACTAATCTCAGAACCAATTGAATTTGCTACGTTCAATAATTGAACTTTGCTTCTGTAAAATGTTTCAATTGTATTGGATCTGAAACTTCACCATTCTCTATAATCTACTTTAGTGGTTAGGATAATTTACAGAACAAAGGTCGTTTCGATTCCAGATGAAGTAAAAGATATCTTTTATTAATATTGACATTAGTTACACTAAAAGAAACTGTACTTTAATAAATTTGTCAAAACTGAACACCTAGCTTTAATGAGATCACCTGTTTGCAGGTTTTTATTGATGGAGCATCCAGCAAATCTTTTAGAATATTTTCTCTTTATTATATTCAATACAGACTAAAACAAAATTACTCAATTTAAAATTTAACTTTATAGAAATCTTCATTAACGCGATTTTGATCACTATGAAAAAATGCCTTCTATATATAATACTCTAAAACTTTTATATACAAAAGGAGATTAATAGACAATTACACTTCCCATAATCATTCATCAAACATTAAAAGAATATTATTTTTAAAAGAATTGTGTAAATTATTTTTTAAAAAATAATGTAAATTATTCTAAGAAGTCAATCGTATATTTCTCCCGATACATAACACACCATAACGGTGTGCTCAATTGAGCTCAATAAAGAGAAAAAAACATCAACCGAGCCCCGTATAACAAGGTGAACAAGTTAGCTTTCAGAACAAATGTCAATGAACAAAAAACAAGTTGCAAATGAAAGTGACGTTGTTCTCAAGTCACTTTAGAAATCCCTTTCTATCTCTTCCAGAATTTTCAAAACCACTGATTGCTGGAGATTGTAGATTGAAGATGAGCCAGAAGGCAGGGTTAACTATTTACATTATTCAATAATGTAGATAGGGGTCAAAAACATTTTGATCTTTCGCAATTTCATAAATTTAATGAAAATCGAAAATGTGTAATTTATAAAAGCACATTTATATTATCTTTCTCTTTTATTCTTTTGTTTATATGATTTTTCAAAAATTACGTAAATGTATGTTTTGAAATATCTCTCACACCATTAATATTCACATTTCTAGCAATTTGATTAATTATTGCATTTGTGAGTGGAAGTGTTTCAGAAGGTTCCGATTGAAATTTCTCGAAATTCCAAAAGTTTTCTGTGAAAAAGAGATTAAAATTTGACATTCACAGTAACGCTTAAACGACATTTTTATAAACACCAACTCCAAAAGATGTAACAGAATAGAGTGGTGAAAAATGCCACCAAATCAAATCGTTATCCTCATACTCATATGATAAATGCCGTAAATTCCCCCAAAATCAGCTTCTTAGGGCAATCTGTTGCATGGATACGAGAAACGTTTTTTCATATTTTATTTATTCTCAGCTTCTATTGAGGCTGAAAAATGGCAGAGATGGGGAAAAATAGTTCAATTTAAAGGCATTTTTGTCCACCAACTTTAACGCGAAATTCAAATAGAAAAAAAGCAATTGAAATTTACTTACGACGTGATAACTTAAATGTGACGTACACAATAACGTGACTGTGTCTCAGAATATTCTATACCATCTTTTTTTCAGATTTTGAAACAATATGGACAAAAGTAAAAACAATTTTATAAGTTTAAAAATTTGAAATTCACGCTGAAATGAGATTGGAAAAGAATTTAAAACCAAAATTAGCACAGTTGCAAGTCTTTGAAACAGAAACAGATAAGCACTTTTTTTTTAATATTGCATCTTTCATTTCAATAAAAACATTGTGTTATTTTTGGTTGGTTGCCTTCGAAAATTGTTACTTTATACCGCTTTCAAAATGTTTCTCAACAGTTTTCGCTCTCCCTGCAACATGGCGGCCAACGTTTGGTCCCTGTTTTCAAACGAAGTGACCCAGTTGTGGTCTCGTAGTTCCCGACTCTAGTGGCAAGTAGGTTCACCAGAGGAGCCCACTTGGGATTATCGGGAGCGAAACTATATTATTGTGAACGTGCGAACAGAAGTCGCACCGTGGGAAGCTGCTCCCTCATAGCTGCGATAGTTTATGATTTTGCACAAGCTCGTTACTTGGCGATAATCGTTCAACCGTCTGAAATTTTCAGTAGACTGTTGAGTAGACGAAGACATTGAAGAAAATGTGACAAGATTAATTGTGTATAATTGACTAATTGTTAATGTTTAATAAACCTTCAACTGAGTAATTTGATTTATATTATAAACAGTACATAAATCTAAAAACAGGTGGATTTTGATGATTTTATTTGAATAATATAAATACTTTCCGCAAAAAACATTTGTTTGTAAAGAGTTGTAAATCATGCTGCTGGGTGAGACTTTTCAATTATTTAAATATACATTGTTTGAACATTGGTGAACTATTTTATTCCCAATTAAATTTTAGTCCGAATTTCAAAATTTGAAACTAATTAGTACACAAGTACAGTACAGGACATATTTTGCATTGAGTATTGTAAGTTAATTACAACCGTCATGCAGGAGATATTTTTTACGGTCTATTTCTTTATTTTTTATTGCAATAATATTCGTTTTCAGGTATCACGGTAACAACCAACATTTCCATTTCTTCCATTGTTATGACAATAACCGATGTATGATGCAACGTGTTTTTGATGTTTTTCAATTCATTCTTAATGTGATTTTTGGATTTCAAATGATTGGTTTTGGGTCATGAGAACACAGAGAAAGAGGATTTATATTACTCACGGCCTACACCAATCCGAAGCGAAGGCCGGAGCAGTACCCTACCAAAACGGGCCAGGGACCACGCGCGATCTTTCCTTCCCAGTCCTTGTTCTATCCTACCCCTTACACACACACTTACATCAACTACATTACAACACATGCTGGGAGATCGGACGGATGCTTACAGCTTGTCGTGGTTGGGGCGGTGCCCCGCCGGAGAAGGTTACCTGGTTGAGGTCAATTCCTCTATTCGATGGTAGGTCGGCATAGGGTATCATCATCCAGCAGTGCTAGACCACCAACTCCTGAGAAAAAACATGAATTACTAGTACGGGACTAATAGACATTAGCCGTTGACGCGCCTGGAATCACTAGTAATCAATTCAATAAATCAACCAACCCGGTCTCGACGACCGCCCTCTGAAATACTAGAATATTTTCTCCTGAACGCGCTACCTTGACTGCAATAAAATTATTTCAATTTGTTGCAAAGAGAGAGGCTTCAGCCACTCTATAGCAGACTATAGTACGGTATATCGCTTTAGCGCACTATAGTACTAATATTTTATATCGTTGCTCCTAATATATTGTGCAAGAGACCAATGAAGGTGCAACAGAACTAGTACTTAATACGCTAGAGGTCAGTAGCAGTGCGTAAGATAATTTTTTAAATATCATAGCAATATACTGTAAAATAAATTAAATAAAAATATAATATTATAATTAATTTTGAACCAATTTCATTCAAAATAACCTTAACACCGTGGTTGACATAAAATTGGTCTTTTTCCTCTTTCACAAAGATTCAATATGAAGAAAGTCCCGGAAACGCCAGGTATTTTCCTAGTATGTTAATTAAAGCACAAAATGAAGCTCGTGCCAATTGTTTAAAATTGACCCCTAGTGGAGTAAGTGAATAGTGTTACCAAATCGTGGCTATACAGTTATTTTTGGAACTGTTCAGATGGGTGCAATTTCACAAAGTTGCTCACATAATGCATTTCACAATCTTACATGTTCTATGGGTGCAATTTCACAAAGAGGTGGTGAATTACTTTCAAATGTGAAGATTGTATCAAAACCTTCACACAAACCAAATTATCCAGAAGTTGACTGAGTACTCCTAGATTAGTAAAGACGTTCATGTAGATGCAAAGGCTGGTAAGAAATATTAAAATTGCACAGATACAAGGACAATGGAATCATTTTATTAGTTCTTAATTACTATGTAAGTCTAATTACTTTAATGTAGAAAAGTTCTTAAAGGGATAATCACATGTTTACTCATGCAGTATGACACATGTTTTGCTAGTCTACTGCAATTAGTAATAAACGAACTATCTTTGAGAAAATACAGCTGAGTCCATTGATTTTACCGAGGAATATATACACGAATTATTTTAAATAGTTTGTACACAATTATTGATTCTTGCTTTAAGATAATTTAGAGCGTTTCAATTGCTCATAGTTCCATGTGTCTCTGACCATTTCTCGCAATTTTTGGTAGAATATCTTATTCAAATTGTACTCAAACAATGGAACGCTACAATACGGTGGCCCATTGAATGGCATTTTACTTTTTAAGAATAACTTGTCGATGTTGGATGGTGTTTCTGAGTGAATGAAACGGATCTCTACATCCTCAAGTGTTTGTTGATAAAATTACCTTCAAACGAATTAATTTCACTCGCAAAATGCTCCACCATTGGTAATGAGCTTTGGAAGTAATGGCTGAGATGTGATAATAGGGACAACAATTTTGGTATTGTAATTTTACGTTACCGTTACTGACGCTAGAAAGTACGTGCTGTTGAGCTCCACTAGTTATTAGAAGAGTAAGCATTCAAAAAGAGTTAATGAAGATCTGAAATAATAAAGTTTGCTTGAGATGAGAAAATTCAAAATTAGTTTTTAGTCAAGAAGAAAAATGTCAAATAAATCAACATTTCACAAAATTTATTTTATTGTGTTTTATAACATCAACCTGCAATACATTTATTGCAACATTTGCTTGGGAATCTATTTACCGCTTCAAAGTTTAAACAAATAAATTTTATAACATTAATTTAACAAGTGTATTTCTTCTATTTTGAGTTATTTTAGTGAATAAAAAAATCTACTACAGTATTATTGATGAATTGAATATCGCCAATGAATTTCGAAGACCAGTGTCTATGTTACGATTTATTTATAATGTCATCTTGAGGTCATGTACGAAAAAGGGAGAGGGAAAGCTGTCTCTAATAGGGAGTTTTAAGGCGCCTTCAGTGTTGAACATTTGCGAACGTCCTTCTCAACGGGGCTGGGGGCCGCAGCCAGAGCTCACCACGTGCGAGGCCCACGAGGTAACACAGCGTGACGTGATGTTGAAGAGCCATTATAAATCAATCGAAGTGTAGAGACAACAACTCTATTTGCATTTCGGTATTTTCATAGGCCCTTTTTCATAATTTGATCTCTGAAATTTTGGTTTTAAAATAGTTCAACATGTCATTTTCAAGACAAAGACATGTTGAAGGGTACATGTCTGTGATTGTTATACGTCGGTTGTAGTGTAAGGTAGTAAATTGAATTGAATTGAATTGAATTTGCCTTATTTTACGTGGCGAGACTCGGGCCATCAGGCCCGCTCTTCCGTCTGACCACGTAAGTGACACGTTTTAACAAAGAAGAGTCAACGAAAGAGGCAATCTAGTTACGGGGGACGAATGAAGGGACTTAAAGCGCGAAGGCGAGGGCAGGCAGGACGACGGCGAGGACGAGCGAAAGGGCTGCGTGTCGCAGGCCCCTCGCGCCGCCCTCGGTGGTGGTCGTGACGATGCCGGGCTCCTCCGGGGTCCACTTCTCCAGTTCGCTCAGCACGCTCTCCTTGTGGCGCTGCGCCCACGCAAGGTTCACCTCTGCGGTGGCGACGCCGGCGGTGGCCACTGCTTTGTGCTCCGGGTTACTCAGACGACCCGCAATGGCCACGAGCTGCAAGCAGAACAAAATGGCAGTTCTTTGCATGCCGCTTGGATCTCGTATCAGTCAGTCGAAAAACGAATTTTGCACTCATGAATAACGTGACATGAACGACGTAATATTGCACACATGAATTTGGTTTAATCATCATACTTATTCAAGCTAAAAAATAGAACGATGTCGCTGGTATTTGGCACGCAGTAAATAGATTTAAACAAATTAGGTACCGAAAAAAAGAGAAGAAATATTACGATTTGAAGTCACTATAATATAATGAATAGATCACAGCTTTCCTTTAATAATAAAAAGCTACGAAATTTGCGTTGTTTTAAATGCAGAGCTAGAATGGAAATGGCGTCATGTGCAACTTAGCAAGTTCGCAGGAAAAGGAAGAGCAATTAATCTTGCTTAGAGAACATGGTGTTGTGTGATCGTTTAAACGATTGTTTGTGATAAATTGTATGCATTCAATGTACTTTTATTAAAAACTATTCTTGTAATATATACGGAAAATATCAGAGATGATAGAGTACTGATTGTTTGAAAATTGTATTTCATACATTTTTACTTACATTAATTAAGGTTGATAGGATGATTTACACTTATAGACCGAAACAATATTTATGTTTTTATTTTTAAAGATATTGTCAAATGTAAAACATATGTTTATCATGGGTATGCAATATTTTCTGTCGTAACTTTTCTTCAGCACTTTCGTCTGTGCTGGGCACAGGCTTAGCTAGTGTACTAATTTTTTTTATATAAGTGCAATTCAACAATTTTTTTTCGATGTGAATGGAACAGATTTGAATCTTCCTGAAAGTTTTATATTACTGCCAATTCGTTACGGAATACCCATTTTCTTCTGTGATTGCCTATTCTATTAGATCATTTACGTGTAATTGTTAAGTTTCTATTATATTTCAAATCAAAAGTTTGTAAGTTCTGACTCTTTAGTACATTTTTGAATCTATTCTTTCACACTAACAAATCATTGTTGTAATATCTATGAAATGATAATTGGAAAATTTGAATGTTATGTATTTCGTCAAATGTTGATTGATTGCTTAACTAAATGAAATACTATCGTTTTCTGTGTGACAAACTGTGCTCTTACAAAGTCCAAACGAAAGCTATTGCTTGCATTTGTGTGGTTCCCTTTCCCACTGTGGTATTTAAACATGCATCCTAGCTCCTATCTGTCAATGATGCCGCAGAGGTATCAGTAATACCGCTAAGAGTTACTCATATAATATGAGCAACAGCGTCAATAGTTATTCTTATACGAGTGGAATACACTATGTTGAACTTGATATTAATGTAATCGTCTTTTAAACAAAAAGTTCTCAGTTTTCATATTTTATCACAATGTTTGTTATAAGTAACAGAAACATTACTAATCATTCTCTATTTGTAGTAGATTTTGTTTCACTTACATGTTGCTTTTGATCTTCATTTGTTATGTATTGAGACATTCCTCGAATGATGTTTGTTAGACCGTTCATGACAGTTGAAGCTCTGTAAAAGTAAAGAGGTAAAGCGCATCAATATAACAATTGCAAAAATAGTTAAACTGTAATAGTTTCCGTCAATGTTCTCGCGTCCGACTCTCAGAATATTCGAGAAGATAGTTCGTTACATTAAATATAGTATGAAATATTTTCTATTAAAATCAAAACATACAACTGTATACACTGAAACAGCGTGTTCAGGGAGGAAACGTATAAACTTCGAAAATAAGCACTTAAGACAAATTTAAGGATGTTATTTCTAATACACACCTTGGATATTTTGAATGGCTGAGTCGCAATAAGCACTCAAACGTTGGTTTGAAAAAATAATTTCTATGCAAAAAGTTACATTGCAGAATAGGATAAACACTCCATAAACATGTAAATTGTTTATTATAATTAATATTTTAACGTCTGTTAAAATGTTTATTTTATTGTAAGTTTCTTGTCCTTAATAAAACAGAATGAGTGTTTTTAACAATTTATGTTATTTTATATTTAACATTTCGACCCTATTTGGTGTTTTATTACGTTAAATATAACATGAAATAAATTATTATATCAAAAACTCAGTATGTTTTTTTAAGGTCAAGAAACTGACAATAAATTGTTTGTTGTTTACAAAATAAATTAATATATTTATTCAGAAAGAAAAAAATAACTCAGAAATTTAAAAAAAAGCCGTTGAATTGTGTAAATTGGGGCATATCTGTTCAGAAGTAGATAAGGTTCGACATCTTATAATAAGAGCACTACATACCTATCTTCAATTTTTGGTAGATTGTATTCCAAAAAGCGAAGCGCTGCGTTCACGCCTTCTGGATTGGAATATACGGCTGAAAATACACTAGCAATGTCTTGCGTTCGAATCACATTGCCTAATACGGCACTTTCCAAGTACCTATGAAGAAAAAAATTGCATTAAAAGAATAAACTACATATTATACGCGGTTAGATGATAATAAACTATAGTGCTGTACGAGGGATAAACTAAATTGCAAAAAATGGCCCCGAATGCAAACCCTCAGATAACATTGAAGGACAGTTTACCTACAAATAGTCGTGTCACTTGTTTCAGATGGAAGTAAAAACGAGAATGGAACAGCCACTCAAATCACCTCTTTACCTCCAACAAAATACGTGGTTGGTTGCGAATCACTTGACAATATACCCGTAGGCGCTGTAGTGCAATTGTACTCAGTGAAAGTTAGTTATCACGCAGCAAGCCAAGATGTACATTTCAGTGCTTTGTAATGTGATGAGCTACGACATATCGAAATATTATTTTTTGTCGAGCTGATGGTGTGTTGGTAACCTGAGTAAATTACTTCTCATTCAGAAGGCATTCACGAAATACGTGTCACATTTGAAGGGAAAGGGAGTTGGCCACCTTGTTACGAAATTGAACGATGGTGCGAGGGAAGTATCTAAAAAGTGTGTGAACTATTCAAATCACATGTGTGATATGAAGATATTATGACGGTAAAAGTATCTCAAAAATATTAGACAAAATACGCAAATAATAGATTAAATATCGTTTACAAACCCACGTTATACACATTCATTATACTACACTTCTGTGATTTTGTTTTAAACGATGAGATTCATGATGCGTATGTACACGTAAGAGGCGATTCAAGACATGTGTTTAAAGTGTTGGAAGATTTTTGTTACACTAGTGTGGAAACGAGACAAAATCATGCTAAAGTCCGCATTTGCCTAACGCTGTTGCGACTGTAATGTAAGATAGAATTGGGATCAATGATCTTGTGGTGGAAAGAGATATAGGGAAGCTTTAAGGCCTCGGCGGACGTTAGACTGACGTTAGGCTGATCGTACTGGGGTTGCCAACCGTCCCCATTTGGGAGGACACACCTCTATTGACGTTCATTGCCCTTTCGTCCTCCTTTATATTTTAAATGTCCTCCGTTTAGTAAATATTTAAAATTTTTTTGTCATTTATTTAATAACATGTCTTACACCTGTTACAATATATCGTTTATTGTTTAATTTAAAGTGGAAAATATGAATATCCTTTCTCTGAATGGTCACACACGAATATACCATAGTGTCTCTAGCGAATAAATACGCTTAAATTATTAAATATATGATAGGCAAAAATATTCTTCTAATAATTCTAAGTATGCCATCTGCGTCTGCATTGTGAGAACATATCACTTGTGAATCTTTAATGGACAGAAGAAAGTAATAGAGCTGATGTTAGTCTTATTCGGCGAGAACTATAGACTTTTTCTGACAGGAATTGCTCAGCCTTTCACGATTTTATGAAAGATAATAAAGCTTTACAGGAAGCAGCCAGAAGTGCAAAAAAGTACAAATTTCTAAAGAAGTAAGTTATGAACTTGTTAAATATGATTTTCTTACATATTATAACATTATATGTTCATTATAAAACTTGTTTTTTTGTTTGTTTTTATCGAGCGTCTTCCCTTTTACATGATCGCAGTTGGCAACCCGAGATCGTATGTGAAGCACGCAACAATTCAAGTCCTCTTATCTAGCCACCCTATTCAGAAACCTCCTCCAATTGTTAAGACATCCAATGCCTGCAATCGCTTATCATGACGACTTGTAAAACAGAATTTTTCAACATGACAAGCTTTGTCTTGCATCGTATGAATTCTTAAACAGCCAGGCACATTGATGTTCCACCCTGAAGGCGAGGCACAGACGCTTGCGAAATTGCATCGGATGATGTACATTCACACAGCCAAGTTTCGTATCGACTACGATGATCTGTATCTGAGTGCGGAAACGTCTCCCACCTCACGCAAGTCCAAGCATCATTGTCTGGCAACGCGCCATCAGAGTTGCTGATGTAATGGTGTGAAGTTACATTGCTTATGGATCTCAATCTCCATTGATGATGACAAAGGGAAAATAAAAACCTACAGGAATGTCGAAAATATTCGGAAACTAAATGCCCTTATATTCTTGGGCTGCGACAAAACCGACTGACTCAAAGTCACCTGACAGCACGGGGTTGTCTGTTTCCCAATCTAATGGAAGCACTGAACGCTTCCGTGGCTGGCAATGTTCCCCAAACTTGTCATCCATCAGCATGTTTGGGGCCAAAAGGGGAAGGAACTATAGTCTGATTTGAACGAATAGTATTCTCAAGTTCACGAGCTGGAAGGAGAGGGGTGCAGTAGCAGCCGATCGGGATCTTCAATACCGAATTTTTAAGTCGCAACAAAGCTTCTGATTATATGACAATGCCCCCTCTCCTTCCAGCTGGTGGCTTTCAGGCGACGCTAAATTTAAATAGGACCATACAGCCAGCATTTATCGCACGAGTATTCGGGTGCTAATTGCAAGAGTTGTATTGTCTGCTTGAGGAGAAAATTAGAAGACCCTACGACATCGTACTCGCTAGTATTGCTCCATTATTCATTATGAGACATTGTGACATTCTTTCAATTGTATAATCACCATGTACGTTTTCTTGCAATAAATGCGGTTTGATATTTTAATCAACTTTCATGCCCTGTATTGAAGCTAGGTTTCACTCCATTGTGGTGAAATGGAGCTGTGTGAAATTGAGGTGAAAGTCATGCTGTGTCAATCTTTGCAAATCAGTTTAATATACAAAAACAATATTGAAAGATAAACAAAAATGCCAATGAGAAAGGTAAATAAAGGAATGTTGTGAAATGTGTATAGAATGTAGGTACATATTGAATACATAAAATCTATATTCAAGAAGCAAATTAAAACATTAAGAATGAGTGGTAAACGTCTGTATTTCTTGTGAAGAAAAACGGTATTCAGTTTACTTTCTCTTCTCAAAAATACTTCCACTGTTCGTGAAAATATTAGCAAATAACTTACAGGTACAGCGTGCTGGAGACCTTTGAGCAGCCCAAAGACGAAATCAGCAAGGAACGTTCAGTGGCGTCATCTGTGTCTAGCAACGTCTTCCAAAGTTTTGTCCATAAAGTGTCGTCGTGTTTGACACCATAGCAATACACAACACTTCGTAAATCTGGAGCAACTCTGGAACGTTGCATAAATAATAGAGGTTATTAATAGAAATAAGGTGATAAATTCTGTTGCTTACGGAATCTTACAAGTGAGTCTCTTAGAAGCCACATTGATTAACTCCGCACTCGTTGAAAATGAGAAAATAAAGTATTAAGTTCACAGCTTTTCGAAAATTAATTTTTACTTATTACATATACACAGTAAAAAGGTACATTGCATTGAAATTCTAAAATATTAGAAAATTTAATAATTACAATAATGAGATTCAACAAGAAACCTTGTTTTAATTCTTAGGAAAGAGAAACTTTCAGGAAGTATGTAACATATTTTCTGAGTTGTTAACTTAATAACTGAAACTTTTCGATTTTGTTATATGAACATATGCTGATCTGATCATGTATGTAGACAATATCATGTTTATTACCCACTTCATTCAATACTACGAAATTTTTACGGTAACAGGGATTTACTAAGGGAAAACACTACAACTCATCACGTTCTACTTCTTCTTAGTGACCAGGAGAGAGGTATTCAAAGTTAATGATCGACGCATTCTTTTTTACCTTCCCTCATTCTACTTACGTAGTATAAAAAATCGTAAACTTTGTGTACTTATATCATTATCGTTGTACATTCAATATACATTATACCCTTGCTTTGCACAGTATTCTGTATACTTTATATATAGCTTTATCTTACATTCACTGCTTTTCAATACATCGCTCATTATTTTGTCACGAAATTTACAAGACAAGACGAACTAATTTGAGATTCACTCTCAAATTACTTGCGATTTGCTTTCACAATGCAAACCAAAACACGGTAACAATTACAAAAAAAAAGATATTTATAAAATCATCCTAAATATTGTGACTACAGTTTTGAAGATAGACAGTTTTATAAAATAGTTCCACACCTTCAAAGCAGAGTGTATGGATCATAATTTTTATAGTAGTTTGTTGTGAATATTTCTGTGGCTAAATAATGAATTCTCCTTTCTAGAACTTCATCACTGACTTTCACATATTGTCTGACAACAGACTTAATGAGAAAATACATGAATTCATTAAATATATCTGAAAAATTATGCAAAGCGTAATTTAACGCAAATATTCTACACATTTTTGTACACAAGAATCACAAGCAAACATGACATGTAGTACGCGCCGCAGTTCATTAAATCTGATTGATATTATATACCTAGAACAGAACCACTCAGAACTGATAAGATAACCGGCTTGGCCGATGAGCTCTGTTGAACCTCACATACTTGTTAATCCTGTACCATCAACACACGTCCAAGGTGGCCCAACAATTCTCAGTTCTCATGCTACTTATTCATTTAGATTAAAAATTTTAAAAATTAACTGTAAATTTTCTTTATGTTGCTCTATATTTTTAATATTTGTAACTTGACATTATTCAATGTACCTGCATTTCTTACTCAATTAATACATTTATCAAAAAGATAATGATTATTTTTCTCTAACCAAATTGTAAAGGTCTTGTTCTTCTTAGATTATATTTACATTTTTCTTTCATTACATTCAATAACATTCTAAGTTAGCACACTACAAATTTCTTTTTGAGGTATTCGATAATGTTTATTCGCAATTTGTTGTACAGACGATGGGGAAAATAACATTTATTTCTTTTTGTACTTTTACTTTAATTGGAACATTGTCTCAAACTTGATGTAAATCGGCAGTATATATTTTTTATCACCTTATATGTAAAAATGTTCGAAGAGACAAATAACAATCATACAGGATTAGTAATATTCCGAAAAAAAACTTTTGAAAAATTGATTCTGTATTCTACCGAACCACTACGGATTTTGTTTAATTTCTTTGCGCACAAATCTAGTATCTACAATGTAATAATTTATAAAATAAAGCAAAATTAACATTCTAAACAAACAAAAGAGATGTCCAAACATGAATTCTTATCGCTTTTCTTGATATCTTTCAAAACATTGTGCATTGAATAGAAATACAAATTTGTTCTCTTACTATGCAAATTATTAACAAAATAATTAGTTTATTTCCAACAGTAAAAAAAACATATTAGGTATTGTGGAGTAGAAGATTCAATCTCGAAAGCAATACAAAGAACATTACAGTATTACATGGAAAATAGCTGTTTATTCCATTTATACCCAGGACATCCAGAAGAATTACAATGTACTAAGAACATATTGAGTTCCTTTCTCTCTTTATCTCTCTTAATTTAACTATAATAATCACGTAATCCTAAAACTAACACATAGTTGTTCAATAAGTCTCGAATAAAAAAATTCGACTAGCTGTCTAAAAAATTTAATCATACGTTGCAAAACTCTCTCTTTCTAATGTCTCTTAAAACGCACACGCGATCACAACCGCTCCTTCGCGCGCACGTTAACGGATTGTTTCACATCTCATACATATTAATATTTGAGTATTTGCTGCTGTCTTACTGACTGGACATAAACATAATTTCTATGGAACATAAACAATATTCAGAGCCAAGACGAAATAATATGATATGATATTCTAGTCTTATTTCATTAATTTTATATTACATACGTAAGTATATAACATTCGTTTTTCAACAGGTATGCCAGTACTTCCGCCCAATGAGGGCGTTTTACGTCAGTGCCATTCTGGCATGGCAAACGCCAGTTCCATGCCACTGTCACACGTTGATCATTGATTAATATGCAGAGAGCTGACGTTAATTACCGTCTACGACGATGTTAAACCAGAACATTACCAATTACAATTACTCCACAAAAAGAAGATGGAGAGTTTGTGAAATTTAACACGAAGTAAAAATTAAGCTTCTTAAGTACTGAATCTGCTCAATAACATTACATAAGGCAGGATATATCAACATAGAAAATGGAGGTGCGTTGGAGCGTTGCAACCCCCAAAACCGCTGGAAAAAATCTAAGAAGCCAGATAGTGTCAGTGAATTTTATGTGATCACACTAAAAGCAAGTGTGCAGAACGCACCTGATACATCATATTACGTACACGGAGGTTTTCCTGGACGGTTCTGATGGATTCTACAAAGCACGACACCTTTACATCGCCAATGGTGAAAACAAGAGTAAGTAGTTCTGAATATTTAAGATTAAATGTTGTACATATTCTACATAGAAAAATGTAGACTTTTCAGTGAGAAATTGTGTAGCTAGAGAAAAGTCTGCAACCCATATCCCCAGGTCTCTGAGTAAAGGAAATATCAAACAATGAACAAGATATAAAAAAATTAAAATGGCACACCGAAAGAACAGTCATTTTGTCATTTATCCGTAGTAATAAAGTGTTATAATATTATTTCATTACATTTTTCTTTCAGTTATTTGAAGTTGAGCTCACATTCCCTTGTAAAAAATATAGTATTTATATTATTCATGTAAATTATATATAAATATTATGTATATTTTTTAACAATATTAATAATTGTTTACAAATAGTTAAATCACTAAACAATTTATTTCACTATTGCATTATTGTTTCATTTTCCCCTCGAAACAAATGCTCCTGTTTCATTATTTCCCATAGGATGTGCTATGGTAACCCAATTCAGCCAACACATAGCTCGCAAGGCCTTCCGTTTTTTGATAGCCAGATTCAAGCAACCATTCGAAATTACACTGGTATCCCACTGGTACGAGGTCTTCAGCAATTCAGTGGGCAAATCAGTGAGCTAGTACCAAGAGTGCCACAACAAGGTAGTGCAAATTAATTCTATTTATTGACATTCTGTATTACTCTGAATTTTGTTGTTAATATTTAAAATCTTTTTTAGGAAACAGATAGCCAAGAAATACAGTATTTGCAAAACACCTTTTATGTCAACCATCTTGGTTGCTTTTCTATTTCTACCAATAAAGACACGTATAAATCAACAGGATATGCTATGGAGACTTACCGGTTTAGAACATGGCTAGTATCGATGAAATTCACTGTCAGCACTCTGAGCCAGACAGAGGACCAAAAAATTATCGCCAACTGGAAAAACATACACAGAATACTCTACACAGCGAACTCACAGAAAATAGATCAAACAGCTATTCCGATTTCTCGTCGGCCATGGAGAACTGGGATTCTTACATACGAGAAAACTGCGCTACGTTACGACTCCAAGAGCATACCCAACAGCCAGTGTGTCTGAGCTCATCCCCACGAGCTGACTCACCAGTGGTTTGGAAATCTGTCACCACCGCGTGTGGAGTTCTGCGCTTAACGAGGGTTCCACCTACTTTGAATATTACACACAAAACATACTGCATCCCTCCGGCGTATGATGGACGACATGGTCATCGACGGCAACTTTACAGCATCGGTGCAGACGGAACGCTGTCCGCCAGTCCCCTCACTAAACGAAAAAAGTCAACATCCTGAATGAAGCGGCCGCTCATTTCCGAACAATCACTACAGCAAGTAGGTTATTGTGCTGTTGTGAATATTTCATTATTCAATGTAACATTTCAACATTTCATGTTACTGATCACAGATTTAGACTGCGCTATGCGAGTTGATCGTAAAAGGAAATTTTGGAAGTTGTTGGGGTAGGGGGTAGTGCGTAAACATTGCACATGGGTCATGGTTCAGATTCTAGTAATGTATATGGACTGTGATGGATTAAGCAGCTCTTGGAATAATCTCGGGGTTCTACAGTATCCCCTGTCTCTATCACTACCTACATTTCTTCATTACAGTACCACACCCTCCTCGACATACAGATCCCACATCCGACTCATTATAATCATCATTCCTGTTCCTCCATTCGTATCGGTTTGAAATCATAAATCGACTAAAAAATACATATGTAAAAAACTAAAAAATCTACAAAAAGGTATGATCTAAATTTTATCCCATTTATCCATGACTACATTAATTAACAAACGAACTTCATAGTAATGAGCAACTAAAGAAGAAAATCAGTAACTTACAAGAGTCAAAATATGGAATTTTAAACATAACATCACCTTCCGTCTATTTATAAAGTTGAGTTAGCCAGTATGTTAACACAT